CTTTCCTTTCCGTAATAGCTTACGAGTGGTCGCGCAGAAAGTAAATAGGGCAGTGTTGGAACGGGAATGACACGAGACGTGTATTATGGAATTCATTTTTTCCTCTTCTTATCCAGGAATTTAGCCTCCACCCCTCTCTGCTCTGCTTTGCTCGGGGCAAGAAGGGCTAGGAGACGGATTCCCAAGAGTGAATGGATGCTCCGCTGCGTATCCCTCCCCCCCCCCCCCCCCCTCTCTCTCTCTCTCTATCTATATCTCTCTCTACAGCCAACTAATTAACTAACTAACCAACTGACTGACTGGAACTGACTAAAACGGCGGACGGCCCCGCCATCGCTAGTGCCGAGCAGGCCGCCGGCGGATGCCAGATCGCATCTACGTAGCTAGTTATAGCTGTCTTAAGTACCCACCTGTCTGCCTGTCTGTCTGTCTCGGCCCCTTTTCGCGGAAAGGGGGCCGCGGAACAAACCGCGCTCGGCGCCCATTCCGCCTGGGCGCTGCCGACCGGCCGCCGAGACGCCGGCTCGCCACGCGCGCGCGCTAAGGTTAGTTCTGCTCGCCGCGCGCAGGCAACCGTTGCTTGCTGCGCCCCCTGGGTATTGCGGCATATGTCTATATGTGTGTGTGTGTGTTCTAGGGAGGGAGAGAGGGCATGGGCCCGCGGGAGTGTTATGGGGTGGGGGTGGGCTCGGAGGTATAAGGGGGGGGAGGAAGTTGGGTTGTGGGCGTGGATAGACGGGGTTTTCTCTCTCACGGGGGCGAAGGGTTCGCGGTGCCTGCGTGAGCTGCGAGCCGGCGTGCTCCTAGGATCACGGCGGCGGTGGTTGTTCGGCGCGGGATGCGGATATGGCGGGTAAAGGGAGGGGGGAGGAGGCGATGTTGTCCTCGGTACGGGGAGCACGCGAGGCTTGTCCATTCTCTCGGTAAAGGAGGAAGGGGAAAAGTGGCCGGGGGAGAGAAAGAGCTCGGCTGCTCCCTCGTATTCCGGCGTGGCCGACTTGCTTTCTACTCTGTGGCGTCGGGTTGGTGTGTTTATGCTCGGATAGACCGAGCTGTGGGTCGTCGGTGCTGTCCCCTGGTGGGATGTGCCACGTATGTCTATACGGACGTATGTATGCTCCGTGGTAGGTATGGGGGGAGGGGAGCGTGGTCGACGTAACGGAGTCGCGATGGTATTGTTATCTTCGTCGGCCTGAGGCCATTTTCTATTGGAATGCGAACACGCGTCGTCGAGACATCCGCGCTCCTGCTGCTTATCGACGGTATATATATTCGTACCCCCCCTAGACGAAAGAACTTGTGCTCGATAGCAGCAAGTGATCCTGGATACTGGTGAGCATCTAGATAACCATGCCGCGACTAGTCCGGGGACTCGTCTTCGCGACCTCGAGGATGAAGCAACTGCTATAGTGAGTACAGGTGGAGGAGCGCCGATGGACTTCAGGCCTCCCCCCAGTGTACAAGGCTGTTGCGGGACTGTATTTGTCACGACCCTTGCTGTCGAGGAAGCTACGGTCGTCCTCTGGCATCGTAAAGCTGGCTTCGTCGGCGACGCAAGAGGGCGGGGAAAATGGCGGGCGGCGTATCTGATGAGCTTAGGTTCGGGAGTTGGCCCCTTTACGACTCTCCGTACAGACTGGGCTTAGCTAGCTAGCTACGGGAGGACTATAGTCTGACGTGGCAGATAGTTCGAAGACAAGTTAGTATTCTATTGTTATTATTATCGCTATCATTTAGTTTGATACTACCGGTCTGAGTCTCTTCTCGTCTCTCCTGCTCTTTCTATCGAGCGACCAGACGATCTGAAGCTTCGTGACTCTCCCACGCTGTATTTTCCTAGTGCCGTCTCTCTCCCTCTCTCTCTCTGACGACTCTTCGACTTGTACTCTGGACACGGCCCGTGACCGCTCTAGGCCAATCAGCCGAATCTGACCGAGTCTACCCCCTTCCCATCAAAATGGGGTCATACGCAGTCAGGTCCGTCAGCGGCGCCTGGTCGTCTGCCGGTGCTTCGTTACCTATACACACCTAGTTAGAGAGTACGATCGGGATATCCTGAGGGGATCGGAGGCAATAATTAAAGGATAATATCGCAGTCCTCATCGATGAAGCGGACGGCGCCCTCTTGGGCGCGAACGGGGCGGCGATTGGAGCGGAGAGAATGGGGTAATATGCACAGAGATCGGGCAGCTTGGAGGATCGGGGTGAGGCGGAAGAGAAGGCAGAGCTGGAAATGAGGAGCGAGGAGGACGTGAGGGCGGAGGGAGCAGAGGAAGGGTTATGAAGGGCGAGGTCGGGAAGCAGGTGCGTAAGGGGGGGGACGTAGGTAGAGGGAGCGAACGAGCGAGCGAGAGAGCGAGAGACGACAAAGTACCTCACGCGGGAGAAGTCGTAGTGAAGCCAGGCGGTACCTTAGAGGGATCGTTGTCTATTTCGGCACCGCGGAAGCTTACCCTCTTATGCTGCCACCATATATCTTACGATATCTTACGATACTCCTCGCCTGCCCAAATACCTGGCTAAAGTCCCTAGCGATAGCCAAGTCGCGCCACAGACCTTCGTAAGAGCATAACCTCGGGTTCTAGCCAGTTGAGAAGTTACCACGTCGGTATATACATCGGCTAACCGGGGCAGACGTCTGTGCTGTGCTCCCTCTACTTGCTTTTATCTCCCTATTCCTCTACGGATAGGTACATAAGACGGATGGATGGATGAACGGGTGGAGGAGCCGTTTCCCGTAGGTGCTTAAACGGGACAAGATGAGATATTTATGGGAGGGGGTTTGGCTGGGTAGACCAGCCCGTGGTCTGTCCAGAGAGATGAGAGGGAGACTGGGGTCTGTCGAAGCTTGGTCCTCCTCGGGGGGAGGGTAGCTGGACTTCGGCTAAGCAACGCCAATCCTTCCTCTATTCTCTCGATTGCTTGCCTTTCCCTGTCTCTCTCTCTCTCTCTCTCTCTCCGTTTCTCTCCTCGTCGCACACAGCGGAAGACGCGTCAATTATGCTACGTCCTCTCCCCGGGGGTAAAGACCATTGCCAGGGGTAGCGTCCATCTGAAGGAACGCCTGCTATGTATCCCCCTCCGTCACTCTTATCCTCCACGTGGGAACTGCCGTCTCCACCGTGTATGAGTGGTCCATAGATGCCTCACTAGTTGTCGAGTCAACTTCTTGCTGGTCGCAACCCGCTTACCACCGTCGTGCCGGTGTGCGAGCTACGCATACGCCACGCTCTAGGCCGACGCCCATGGACGGGCGTATCGAGGTCTCTTAGTCATTTGAGGAAGTAACTTGTCGTCCGCCATTCTCGTCCATCTGGCGCATCCCGAGGTACAATCCTCGGTTATGCGACTCTGCGCTGCCGTCGATAAAAGATGGTGTAACACACAGCCGTTGGCCGTCGATCATTACAAGATGTGACGAGACTCTTGCCTCGTTCAATGTGGCGGAAGAGTGTGGGGGTACAAGCTGTCTCTCTGGTTACTGTACATAGACGGCTTCACGCCCAAAGTATCCGTGTTCAGATAGGAGTAGTGCGGTGACATGCTTGAATATTTAGAAATCAGTCGTCACCTTTCTCGCGGGGAGGGGGGTGTGTTCACCCCCCATCTCACCCCCCTTTCCGGTGAACTGATACGACAGCTTCTATTGAACCGATCGCGTGTGGGTTGGGTTTCCTGTATTCATACGCATGTGGCTTTTTTCACGTCGACGCCATGTGCTAATCAATAAAACCGCCTGGCGCATCGCCGTCCCGCCTATTGCGCCGCTGTAGGACTGTGCACGCGGGGAGGTGAAATTGGAGACTAGGAAGCTATGTACGAGAGGGAAACAGGTATGGATCTTCGATGAGTTAAGGAAAGTCGATAGATACCGGTGACTGGTAGTGAGAACGGGATGAAAGAAAAAAGCGACACTGCTTGTAGAATGTTGACAGACTATTGGATTCGGATACGAGGGCGGCCTCTCCCGTTTGGGCTCGGCTGCTGGGCGGTATTTCGATCTCAGATCAACGAAGTTGGGACAGATGGAGGAGGCATCGATCGAGGCCAGTCACCGCAGCTACGCTCGATGAGCGGCCGAATCTGGTAGCTGCTTTCCGTCTTGCGAGTCAGCTCGATAGATACATGTTGGCGCGGGATGATAGCGGCCAGACTGGTCGAGTAGACGGCATATCCGGCACCATAAGCTCTACATCCCTCTAGCTCATCCTCTCGCAACGGGAATTACGACTCGTTAAATTGGGCCTCTGGTTCCCGTCAGATTGCCCTATTAGCTCACGATCCGCCTTGAGGATGGGTCACATTGCCACCCGTCACGGTGGGATCAAATCTCGAGATGACTGCTACCCACGGGGTTCGACACGCTTGGCTCTATACTGATCTACCTGACAATTCTCTATGGATGGGTTTGGCGGTTGCTATCCTTGCGGGGTAATGGCCACGACAGCTTCCTTTCGTCGTTTTGAAATACGCTATGCTCGTACGGAACCTTGGATGGAACCTGCGATGTGGAGACGGATATGGTGGCAGGGAGGGAGCAGCTATCGAGGAGGTGGCAAAAGGTGTTGACCTGGGATATGGAGCGCGCCGTGTACCGTTGGTAATCCCCCCTCCCTGAAGGCTGCGATGTACAGAAGTAGTCATCTGCCTGGATCTAGATGGAACGCCTGAGCGGACTGTTCCGCTGATGGCAACCACACCATGGTACGATGGGTGTAGGGACGGCACCACATCATGCTACTTCTTCGCCGCGGGCGCCTAGTCCTTGGATTCGCCTTTACCCTCCCGACTTGCTTCGGGCGAGGCTGAACCGCCCTCGATCGATGCTAATAGGGCGTCGAGCTTCTTCTCTAGATTTGTGAGGCCTGCCTCTAGAGCGGCAGCCTGCTGTTCGCCTCTGTTCAGCCACGCATTAGCACTGGGAGATTCTGCAACATCTACAGGATAAATCGTGACGGATAGCGCGTAGGGTTTTGACATGCGCCCTTGATAGGGCCGGCCGACCATCATAAGGGCCTTCGACGGCCCCCCGCGACGAGATTATGATGCGTACGAAGCTGTTGAGATTGCTAACTCGACGCATATGGCGCAGAAAAGGGGAGCGCCGTGTCAAAACATAAGACGGCTCGCAAGTTGTAGGGCTCAGCGCTGCTACTAGCACGACCAGCAAAAGAAGCAGTGGGTGGCCTATACAACTTTGTCAGGCATTCGATGTGTGGTAACTTTGGTGCGTCGGCACGTAAACGAGAGGACAAAAGAGACGTGACACAATGGGAGAGCCAGCCGGGCTTGTCCCACGTCTGGCAAGTTCCGCGACGACAAGGTAGGAGATGGCGAAGGGGATGGCAGAAAAGAAGACGTGAGCGGTCCCACGCACAGTTGACACCCCGAGCGGGATTTGGCTAGGCGAAGTGTGAGTGGCCCTAGAGGAGGTTCGTCGTATCGAAGCGGGGATCTAGGCCTCGGGGCAGACAGGGGGCCGCGCAATGGGGAATGCCAGGCTGATCACACCGGCGCGGATGCAGAAGCGGACTTTGGCATGATGGGAAGATGGGAAACCCAGGGGTCTGGGGGCGATTTGCATGCTAAACAACGCAACACACACGGGCAAATTTTCGCCATTTTCCATGTGTCCATCCTTTCTAGATACTAGACGCCAGGACAGAAAACTTGACCAGATCGGCTGTCGATCTCCCCAAGGCACACTCCGGATCGGAAATATCACCCATACATACCTAGCAAGGTCCTTAAATGCCTAAACGCCGTCCTAGTTAGACAAGGGTGTCTGCCCGCCGCGTTGGGGAAGATGCCGTCTTGGTCGGGCGTGCAAACTTACCTCCGCTATGTCTGCTTGACTCAATACGGCTGAGGTGGAAGCATTTTGTGGGCTGTCATTGGGCCCATGTGTCTTCGCCGCGGTGGGGTCGCTGTCCGACGGCGATTTCGACATGCTGGTGAAGCTTTCGTTGACTGGCAGGGCCGCCTTCGCTCGTATTGTGCCGTATCCGGTCCGATAGAGGCGGAAGAAGTAACAGGATTGTCTGGGTTACGATGCCTGGCCCGCGGTCCAGCCCTAGTAAAATCCGAGGTGGGCTTCGAGAGGAGTGGGTGATTCGCGGCTTGCTGGTCTGGCCTGTGTAAGACGCTGCTGCTGTGCTCGCTAGTCAGCCCGCTGCTCGGAAAAACACCATAGACGCGTGGCGAGGGACGGAGAGAGGTACCAGGGGGACGGGTCTTGGAAGAAAATTGAAGTTGGATGAATATGAGTAGACAAGACACCTGGGCAGGTTGGTGGATGGGATTGTTGATCCAGTCCGCGAACGGCATGCTTTCTTAATTCCTCGATAGGTCCCACCTATCAGCCTCCCCACGTGAGAAATACCCAGTAGGGTTCGGAACTGGCAAAAGGATGCAGGCAAGCTCGTCGTATCGCGGCGGATGGTACTACGTACATATGTCTGTACAATGTGGACGTATGCAGACATGGTCTTATGGCCAGGGGGGGTTGAAAGCGGTGGCCTCAGATGTAGATCTTTCGCTCCAGCTAGTCAAGACTGTCCCCGTCCGCGGCGGTCTAGATCTCCATACCGGTGTCTCGGCATATTTCGCGACGGTTTTTCTTCGACCGGTTGGGAAATAGGGAAATATGCCGTGTTTACGCGATGCCGCGGTCGTCAGTCGATCCGTGGGAGAGACGGGATATTATTTATCATGGTTCTTGTGCGGTGTTGTTCGTCCGGCCAGCCTTGCAAGACCACGTGTATATATCGTACTCACATCTCACGTCCCCGCTGCCACTGTACCGAGACGTACGGTACCGAGCAACGATGCCGGATATAGAGGCGCTCTGGGCTTCTGGAAGGAGGTATGGCGACGATCCTAGCAATTTTAGTACGCCGCCAATTTTATCTCGTCCCTATGCCGCTGTGTAAGTAGATCGCGCAAGGAGGGCTCGGCAGTGATGGCCTACGTAGCCGGGCAGCGTCAGCTTCGCCGGCACGAGCAGAGAGAGAGAGTGCGGGACATAGCGATTGTAGGTATGGAGGGATTCCATCGAGTTCCACGGGGATTTGATGGAATTGCGCGGGAATCCCACTAGACCCCCTCCTCTCTGGTTATGATGATTCAACTTCGGTCCTCGAGCTAGTGCGAGTGAAAGGAACGGGTTAGGTATGTTAGGTAGCTAAGGTAGCTGCAAGTGTACTACTACCTACGGTACCTACCTAAGTAATGCGCGAACCCCATTGAGGCAATAACTCGCAGCGGCAAATGTGTATAGCTTCCCCTCCGTTAGGCATATATCTCTTAATCCGTCCGACATTTGAAGTAGGCTAGGTTAGGTGCATATGTATGCATACGTGTGCATACCTAGTTAGGTAGATACGACCCTATAGCCCCGACTTCCGTATAGAGAGATATTGTAGAACCATGAACCCTGTGATTAGGTGCCTTCTGTGGATCCGGTGCTCCAACGTTCCCCACATCTTGCGTTGTAGGAGGAGGTAGGTACCTAAGATACGTGAGTTAGGTACCCATGTAGCCATGTCGTCGGGCTGGGTAGGTACCTAAGTGCGAGGCTTGAGGCAGGCTGGCTGTGTGCGATGCCACCTTGGGTACTGGCTATTGCCACGTGATCACCCGTCATTGTACATCGGTATACTTTGGGCGGGTTCGAGAATCGATTGGCAGGCATAAATTCCTACAAGCGACGCCGCCGACCTATCCCACACTGTTATCCCACCCAAACCTCGTGGCTGGATGGTTCTCTGCTTTTATGCATGTAGGTCGTCGATGTTGTCGTCGTCGCCTTCGTTGACGGTGCTCTCATGGGGTTCTGTCATTTTTATTACTATCATTTTCTAACCCCATTCTTCTTGTTGCCGCCGTGTTCGTCCGTATGTACGCACGTACACCTATGTGGTAGCCTACCCTACCACCGCCGCCGCCGCCATGCTACCTGACCCTATCCTACCCAACCAGCCAGATTCGCTCGCTCGCCCTCTCTCGCTCTCTCTCTCTCACTCACTTATTTCTCTCGTCCCCCCTCTCTCTCTCTCTCGCTCGCTTCCCCCAATCTCGATCTTGTCCCACAATGACGACTATCAATAGCGTAGCATGTGGATCCATTCCCCTTTTCTTCGTCCTGCTTCCGCCGAGTCTCGAATCTGGCCTGTGGCCGTCTCGGGAGCCATGCGGTTCATCAACCTACCGAACGACTGCCCGACGGAGCGACTGACTAGGTGACATCTGACAGTCAAGTCATTCGGAATACTACGATCCCACGATACCGGGTCTCGCTGGTGGGGGGTAGGAGGGGCTGCGAGTCGACCACATTCAAAAGTGGATGCAAAAATGGAAATATACCTAATCAAAGAAAAACATCTGATGGGCTCCAGAGTCTGGGGTTCGTGGCTTGGGGGGACGCCAAGACTCTCGATCCCGGGCTGAAAAGTCGATTGCGGCGCCCTACCCTCTCCTAATCCTATCGACCCTGATTGGCTCACGGCTGCCAGCCCTTCTTGGCTCCCGCGTCCCCTTTCACTACTGTCTAGTGGTCCGACGCCCCGATAACCACCTCCCCATAGTAGGGAGGTAGGTAGATGATGGGCTGCCCGGGATATTTTCTTTTTCTTCCTGTTTCTTTCTTTTTGACAAATATACCCAGGCAGGAATCGCATCATCGTCGGCACGCTGGGTGATCGTAGCCGAGGCCGGTCTATTTCGGGAGCTCGTTCGCCCCTAGTGAGTGTGCGTGAGCGGTTATGTACCCTGCGTGTGTGTATGTCTGCGTGTGTGTATGTCTGCGTGTGTGTGTGCCTGTGTATGTATATGTGGGTGTGTATGTGGGTGTGTGAGTGAGTAAGAAGGAGACGAGGCGGATGAGCAGACAAGACATCCTCGCCTCCGCCTATTATGTTCTAGATTCGAGCAAGCACGCCTGATATTACCGGCAACGGAGCGTCGAGAACGTCAAAGGTACATCGCGTGAAGAAGAGCGGCGAGCTCGGAAACAGACGCATCCCGGCAAGAGACACGAGATGAAGCAACCCACGCGCAGCAACACTCTCATTTGTCGTAAGCCTCGGCCGCGATCTCGATCCCGCGCGCTCAGCCCGTAACCCTTCGCACACATTCTTCACCCCATTCGGCCACTGGTGTGCCGATAGCTTCATCCCATGCTCGCCTACACAAATCGTGGGGCGGTAGGAGCTGGTTCTCGACACCCGTTTTCTCGCGGGTCTCCTTCCTCTCACAGACCCTCTCACACGCACACGCACACGCACACACGCACACACGCCACGCATGCTTTCCCTGCCTCCCTCCCTCTCCCTCTCTCTCTCTTTTAAGAGAGAGACGCACACAGAGAGGGGGCGAGGATGTGTGTATGTGTTCGTGAGTTGGTGAGCGAGCGAGTGGGCGAGAGAGAGAAGCTTCGAGTTTAAAGAGCTTGATGGCGCACAGTAGGAGGCGAGACGGGCGATTCGCCAGTGGGCGAAGCTCGTCTGTTTACGACCTACGAAGCAACTAAGCGTTAGCCCTGACTCGGCTGCACGAGCTTGATTCTTCCCAACAGTGCATATATGGGTCTTGGAATAGGTCCAGGTTGCGATCTTCTAGGAATAGTCACGTTCCTGGGAAGAGTCTCGCCCAAGGTCCGGGCCTGCAGAGCGTGACCTCATACCTCGATACTTACATAGGTTACGAGGACGAGACCAGGTACCGCGTCCTCTGGCCGAACATATTATTGCCCATCAGCCCATCAGCCCATTTGTGCTTGCATGTTTCCAGGACCTCCCGCCAGCCATCTGAGAATGGGAGCTAATCCTGTAGGTGAGTCTTCTTCTCTATCTCCGTTTTCCCTTTAACCAGAGCGCTAGCTGTTCTGGGGCTTGCCGCAGCTGTGTATTTTTATTAGTATTATTATTATTATTTTCTTACCCCCTCGAGCTGTGACACACCGAGTGCTCGATCCCCAATCGATTACGCTGCTCATCGAGATCTGGGAAAATGCAGCGGGATCGTATATCACCACAGCAGCCCGGGATCCAGAATGCCAAATTTCCACATTTCCCCTAAACATTGCCATTGACCATTACGGGGCAAACAGACAAATCCGATTTTCAACCCTTTTAACGTCTGCCACAGCCTGACCGTACCGCAACCCGTACTATACGACCGACGTCCCTAAACGCCGTCTACCTACTTCGAGCGGATTTCGTCTACGCTGCCTCCCCCCCTCTCTCACTCTCTCCCTCTCTCTCTCTGGGTCCTGCCTACGTACACCTCTCCCGGCACGCACCAACGCGCACTCCTCCTTATATTCCTAGGCCGCCCCACGCCCCACACATCCGGGCCGCCTCTATCGCTTCAGGCCTACGACGCGTCTCTGTTTCTGCCGCTGCTGCTATCACTCCGTGCCCACGTGTCTGCTCAGTCGCAGGGAGCCATTGCCGACTGGTATAGGCGGGTCAGTATCGTAAGAGGAAGAGCACACCAGGAATAGGAAAGGCAAGCGGCTTAAAGCGTCCCCCCTACCACGCTGGTTACTAGACCAGCGATTTCGGCGAGGAAGGGTAAACTTGTCCGAGAGTTGTTGGTGTGGACGGAGCAGAGCTACCCCCCTCCCCCCCAGGCCTCTCTCCATCGTGAGCCGAACGCCGATCCGGGAGAGTCCGTTCGCCGGATTAAGAGAAGACGAGAAGAGAGAAAGTAAACAAGACATTGCACTCCGCACCGTAATCGCCGCACCTACGAGGGTTCCACGCGCAGGCTCGAGGAAAGCCTGATGCTGAATTGAGAGCTCTAGCGAGTGATCCGCTGAGACGCGGCAAAAAAACAGCTATATGAATTCCCTCGAAGCGATCTTCGGCGAGCTAGGCATCTCTCAATACCTTGACGCCTTTGTCGACCAGGGTTTCGATTCGTGGGACACGATTTTAGACATTACCGAATCTGACCTGTGAGCCTTCCTAGCCCACCCTAACTCGGGCAATGGCTGACGTTTCGGCGGTAGGGACGCGCTTGGTGTCAAGCTCGGCCATCGAAGAGTAAGACCGCTCGTTCTTTTGAGTAGTGCTCGGCGTGTGTATTTGTGTGTGTGTGCGTGTGTGTGTGTGTGTGTGTGTGTGTGTGGCGTTCGCACTGACTGTCGCGAAGAAACTCCAGCGCCGTATAGCGAATTACCGAGGTCTTGCACCTGATGCGTCCTTGATATCCCCTACGCGTACCAGCATCGAAGATGTTAGGCTCGATTCGACTCGGGCGGAGCCTGTCAAATCCGACAAGTCGGACGGAGCTACCGTTGCGAAGCGCAAGTATAGACGGCACCCCAAGGTCTGTCTTCCCACCCCCAACCGACTAACCCGGCTCCTTTTGCGATGACCTCTCGCGACGTAGCAGGGGCCAATGAGAATATACCGCTGACCAATGAGCTAGCCTGACGAAAATGCCCCCGAACGGCCGCCTTCGGCGTATGTGTTATTCTCGAACAGTAAGTTAAGCTTGCATTCAGCGATGCCTAGGGTGTATACTAAACGACGACAGAAATGAGAGAGGATCTGAGAGGCCAGAATTTGACGTTCACGGAGATCGCTAAACTGGTCGGTGAGAATTGGCAAAACCTCAACCGCGCTGAGAAGGAGCCTTTCGAAAGGCAAGCGCACGAGGCAAAGGAGAAGTACAATCGCGAGCTGAGCACCTATAAGAAGACGAACGACTTCAGGAAATACAGCGACTACCTGCATGAGTTTCGAAAACGACAGGCGGCCCAATTACAAGGTATGTGTCGTGCAGGCGGTGTCGTGATCCTAGACGGTGCCAGACCCTGACATCGTCTCTCAGAAAAAGACGCTTCCAAGCGTCTCAAGACAGAATCGGACAGTACTCGCGGAAGTAGCACGAGTGGCGGTTCGACGGGGCCTAGTGGTACGACCAGTGGCACGGGTAGCGGATCCGACAGCCAGCCTGGTAGCGAGCCGCCGCCAACACGTCAGCAAAGGATGGGATCGTCGACGTCGACGGTCGACAGCAATTTCTCCCCGAGGATGAACGGGATACATCATGGGGACGAGCCGCTGCATTCCCCGAGGACCCTCTCGTACGACGAGCAAATTAACGGGCGACCACGTGGGCTGTCGAGTCCTACTTCTCGCGATTCCCCTAGCCACCACTCGAGCAGTCGATCTCGCTGGTTGGAGAGCCAGCGGATGTATGCGGAGTCTAATCACACGAGCGCCTCGTGGTTTGACCCGAGAAATATCCAGGGATCGCTCGCACATTCGCCAGAGAGTAGCTTGCCTACGCCAGTCTCGAGCTTGGGCCTGAGTAACGGATCTGCTCGCGGGTCAAGGTCGTCGGCGTCCGGATCACGGCCACCATCGTTGAAGACCGAGCAGTCTTCAGCTGGGAGTGTCAGTTCGTACAGTTCTTATAATACCCCGAGGACCCCAAGCGACGCCTCTCTGCCGATACACGCGCTCCTATCATCAAAACCGGAACCGCAGTATTCTTCACGCCAAACCACCGTGTCCCATGCGCCACTGTCAATCCTGCAATCGCAGCCTGGCCGTCCGCCAGGAGATCGGCTAAACGGTAGCATGGTTGAGACCCACGGAAATGGTAGGCTCTTTTTTTTCTTCCTTCTGGCTCGCTCCGTGGCGTGCATTCTAAAACTGACAATTGTCGTAGGGTTTCTCCCCGGGCCGATCCCGCCTAAGTACATAATACCCAGCTTCCAAAAGGAAGCAGTATACGGTGTACCAGCTGAGCCGAAGCTAACTACTACTTCTAAATTGAACGGGAGTAGCGAGAATGGCCTGGATGGCATCAGTGCTCTACTCAAGGCTCGAGAAATCGTGGACCGGCGGTAACTAGAGCTCGTGCCATGGCTCCGCCCCCCTCCTCCAGAGATCTTCCGCTCATCATATGTTGTACATCCTGGGAACCCGTGGCGTACGGCCATTCTCTGATCTGAAAGAAATTCGTATTTTATGACATCCCTCTACTTATCAATGGCATATGGGCTTTTTTCCGGAAAGGGATCCGAGCGTTTGGAAATTGTGAAAGACGACACGACAGCTAGGAACGAGGACCGACTGCAATGACTCTGCACTTCATACGGGCCGGCGTTTTTCTTTTTTTTTTTAATCCCCGGAGGGTATGATGAACTGCGGCTACAAGTGCAAAGCTTTTCAGCCAAATACCCTCCCCCCTCTGTTGGTGCTCCCGCACAACTCGTCGAAGCAATGCATTACGACGGGGAGGGGGGGGGGGAGGATTCGGGCTTGTCTGGTTGCCCGACAAGAGGCAACCATCACCATCTCAACCTTGGGGGTTGTTTTATATGTTTAGGAGTTTCTTCGGGACTGCTGTCGAGGTTTGGTGCTCCGTACAAGACGGAAAGGGGCGAGGAAAAGGCGTTGGCGGGGAGGGCGCATACTTGGGGGGGGGGGGACTTGACTCCTTATTTGATCTCGCTTTCGCGTCCCTTGCTCATCAACCTGGGCGGGGGTTACAGTCCGCCCGGCCACGTGATGAAACCCCTTCAACTTCTCAGGGAAGCTGCTGTGACTATTGCTAGGACAATTCCGTGCATTGTAATCTTAAATCTGTGCGAGAAAAGAATCACTTGCTCGCTACGCGTACGCTGGCCAGAAGCGGACGCAAAGTGAAGCGAGAGGTGGTCGCGTCGCGTCATACCGACCGTCGACGGTGCGCGCGGAGTGCCACGACGGCGGATGACTGGCAACGTGGAGGTATATCGGGTTGCACGATATGTCCACACATACATACATACATACATACATACATACCGGCCTAGCTTCTTCGACCGAAAGCTAGGACGGCCAAAAAAAAAGAAAAAGTACATTTCATATCCGCGCGCCCCCTTTTCCCGTTTCTCTCTCACGACTACTGCTCCTCGCTGCGACCACGCGGGCGGCCCAGTTCCAGTTCCACTACTCGCGCCACACACACACACGCACACATGTCCCGCAGCGCAGCATCCGGAAATCCCACGCGGCGACAGCAGGCTAGCGCCCTTCGCCGACGAATCGCGCGCGCGACGTTCCCCCTGGTCGGGTTCTAGAAATAGGACCGGGCCACCTGGCTCTCTCTCTCTCTCTCTCTCTCTCTCTCTGTCCTTCCGAAACGAGGAGGAGGAGGGGGGGGGGGGGGAATAGGTAGAGAGAAAGAGAGAGAGAGAGGAGGGAGATAACGAAGGCAAGAAAAAAAAAAAGAAGCAGCCGCCTTCCCCTCCCCCCCCCCCCCCCCCCCCCACCCCCCCCCCCCCCCCCCCCCCCCCCCCCCCCCCCCCCCCCCCCCCCCCCCCCCCCCCCCCCCCCCCCCCCCCCCCCCCCCCCCCCCCCCCCCCCCCCCCCCCCCCCCCCCCCCCCCCCCCCCCCCCCCCCCCCCCCCCCCCCCCCCCCCCCCCCCCCCCCCCCCCCCCCCCCCCCCCCCCCCCCCCCCCCCCCCCCCCCCCCCCCCCCCCCCCCCCCCCCCCCCCCCCCCCCCCCCCCCCCCCCCCCCCCCCCCCCCCCCCCCCCCCCCCCCCCCCCCCCCCCCCCCCCCCCCCCCCCCCCCCCCCCCCCCCCCCCCCCCCCCCAGGCCCTATAGGCGCGCTATGCATGTCTTACCTGCGTTGCCGTTCCCAGGCCGCGGCGGCGGCGGCCTCTCGTTCGTCAGTCGCCTTCGCAGCCCTGCTTACAGCTGTCGTCGTTCGGTTCGTTCGTCCGCCCGCGCGCGACGGCGAGGCAGGTCTGGCACCCCCGCCGGCCGCGCCATGCATGCATGCACGCGCGGCGTCGTGACACGTTCGGCGGCGATCTCGTAGTAACTCGTACGAGATCGCCACACGCGCGCGCCCTCACCCTCGCCGCCCCCTTCCCTCTTCGCACCATCTCTTTCCCTCCCCTCTCCTCCCTTTGCCCCTCTTCTGTGTCTTCACTCCCTTGCTTGACTCCCTTTCTACTTTTTTTTTTTTTTATGTTAATAATCTCCCAACCCACCACCGCACCCCACCCCTAATTCCTTCCTCGGGTCGCTCCCGGCTCCCGGCTCCCCCCCCGGCTTCACGCCTCGCCCGTCAGCTCGGCGGACCAGTCCCTGCGGATCTCGAGCTCGAGCAGCTCGGGCGTGTTCTCGATCACGAGCC